GTTGGTTTTGAAATATTTAGTCAAATGGTGCCAGGAGCAGCTAGGACAGAGACCTGGCCAGAATCCAGTCATCAGTCACTGAACAGCACTTACTGCCATCCATATCCATCAAGCCAGAGCCTAGTTGGATAGAACATAAGCAGATTCTATGGTGGCGGGGGGGGGGAGGAGTTTACCCTTGAGCTTGTATTCCTGGTCAGCATTCCCATAGTTTTGGTGATTCAATTTTGGCTTATGTGTTTTTTGGACCTCAGCTTTCTGCCACCACAGATGGTGGGTGAGGTTTCAATTTGCAAATATTAGTTATATTGAGAGTGTTTATTTTTCAGATAGAAACCACCAAGAGATCTTGTAATGAAGTTATAGAAATATTAATATTTATATGTTCTACATCCCATCTCCTAAAGGCTTTGTTTTATTTTGTACTTGCCAAGAAAACTATGGTAAGCATATATACTTAGATCCCACTTTTATAAAAGAAGATTATCAAATTTTAAGAAATAATGTTTCTTGGTATTTTCATGGGAAAAGACAAGGGATGAAAATACCACTAACTAAAATTTGGTGTCCGAGGATAGTTAGCTAGGGAAAGATAGGAGATATTTTAATAGTCATAAGCAACAGGTAAAATCTATAATATTTTTATTTTCTAAAATGCAAAAGTATAGACATTTCAAGCCCCTGCATTCAACACAAATAGAAAACTTGAAAATTTTTATTTATAGCTAGAGCAATAAGACAACAAAAAGAGATAAAGGGGATATCATTGGAAAAGAAGTAAAACTTTCACTATTTGAAGATGATAGGATAATTTAAATAAGTGACACAAAAAATTCTACCAGGGAACTCCTACAGCTGATAAACACCTTCAGCAAAGTTGCAGGATATAAGATTAACTCAAAATATCAGTAGCCCACTATATATAGATTACAAATGGGCTTAGAAAGAAATCAGAGAAACATTACTCTTTACAATAGCCAAAAACAACATGAAATACTCTGGGGTAACACCAAACAAGAGAAAGACCTGTATAGCAAGAAATTTGAGTCTTTAAAAGAGGAAATTAAAGAAGATAACAGAAAATAGAAAGATCTCCCATGCTCTTGGATAGGTAGGATCAACATAGTAAAAATGTCAAACTTGTCAAAAGCAATCTACAGATTCAATGCTATCCTCATCAGAATCCCAGCACAATTCTTCACAGACCTTGAAAGAACAATTCTCAACTTTATATGGAAAAACAAAAGACCCAGGATAGCCGAAACAACCCTGTACAATAAAGGAACTTCTAGAGGCATCACCGTCCCTGTTTCTTAATCACCTATTATAGAACTATGGTGCTGAAAACAGCTTGGTATTGGCACAAAAATAGACATGTAAACAATGGAATCAAACAGAAAACCCTGATATAGACCCACACACCTATAAACACTTAATTTTTGACAAAGAAGCTAAAATTATACAATGGAAAAAGGAAAACATCTTCAACAAATGGTGCTAGCATAACTGAATGCTGGCATGTAGAAAACTGCAGATAGATCCATATCTATCACCATGCACAAAACTTAAGTCCAAATGGATCAAAGACCTCAACATAAATCCAGCCACCGAACCTCTCAGAAGAGAAAGTGGGAGGTACCCTCAAACAAATTGGTATAGAAGACTGCTTCCTAAACATAACACCAGTAGCACAGACACTGAGATAGACAATAAATGAGACCTCCTGAAACTTAGAAGCTTCTGTAAGGTAAAGGACACAGTCAACAAGACAAAACAGCAGCCCCAGAACTGGTAATGATCTTTACCAACCCCACATCTGACAGAGGGCTGATTTCCAAAATACACAAAAAACTCAAGAAGCTAGTCACCAAAACACCAAATAATCCAATTAAAAAGTGGGGTATAAAACTAAATAGAGAATTCTCAATGGAGGAATCTAAAATGGCTGAAAGACACTTAAAGTGCTCAACATCCTTAGTCATCAGGGATGCAAATCAAAACAACTCTGTTATACCATCTTTCTCCTGTCAGAAAGGCTAAAATCAAAACACCAATGACAGTTTATGCTGGAGAGGATGTGGAGAATGGGGAACACTCCTCCATTGCTGGTAGGAGTGTCAACTCCTACAACCACTTTGGAAATCATTATGGTGGTTGCTCAGGAAAATGGGAATCAGTCTACCACAAGATCCAGCAATTCCAGTCTTAGGCATATATCCAAAAGATACACATTCATACAACAAGGACATCTGTTTAACTATGTTCATAGCAACATTATTTGTAATACTTAGAATCTGTAAGCAACCTAGATGCCCCTCAACTGAAGAATGGATAAAGAAAATGTAGTACATTTACACAATGGATTAACTACTCAGGAAAAAAAAAACCCAAAACCAAAAAACAAAAAACAACAACAACAACAAAAACAATGAAATCTTGAAATTCACAGGAAAATGGACTGATCCAGACCTCCTGAACATGGGTGTTATTTAGGAGGCCTGGGCAATCGATGGGGCCTCTGGTAGTATTTATCCCTAGTGTACAAATGGACTTTGGGAGTCCATTCCACATAGAGGGCTACTGTCTCGGCCTAGACACACGGGGGGAAAGGGGCGGGGGAGCCTAGGCCCTGCTCCAAATGATATGACAGACTTTGGAGATCCCCCATGGAAAGCCTCACCTTCCCTGGAGAGCAGAAAGGTGGGAGGGAAAGGGAACTGAGATTGACATGTGAAATAAGCTCATTTCTAATTTAATAAAAAAGAAAAACAACTGAAAAGGAGACTTATAAGCTACTTTATCCCCTGTGAAATACAGCCTCTAAGCTATTACAGTGCTCTCAGCAACTAAGTTTAAAATTTAAATCATTATTGTAATGCTATCATTATGTTTATACTGTTTAATCCAGTTTTAAATACATATATATTTTAACTTGTGAAATCAGTGAAATTATGTAATTTGTATTGTGTAGCTCAACCATACATATGCATGAAGCAAGTGCTTAGATATTAGTTGCATCCTTTTAGTCAGACTATCCCGTGCTTATTGTCTTTTTTTGTTTTTTAATCAACTTGACACAAAACAGAATTATCCGGGAAGAGGAACCTCAATTGAGAAAATGCCTCCATCACATTTTCTGTAGACAAATCTGCAGCACATTTTCTTGATTAGTGTTTGATGTGAGTGGACTTAGCCTGAAGGGTTTGTGGTACCCCTGGCACTGGGGTTTGGGTTGTAAAGCATAGCAGGCTGAGAAAGCTATGAGGAGCAAGCCAGTAAGCAGCAGCCCTTTGTGGTCTCTATTCTAGTTCCGTCTCCCGGTTCTTGCCCTGAGTTTTCAATGATGACTTTCTCTCAGTGATGGACTTGCACCCACCTCTCTATAGGTGGTGGGACCCAGGAAAGTGGAGCCAATAAATGGAGGGGACCAAAGTCTCATTTAAAGTTTCAACTTTATTCAGAGCCTCAGATAATTTATACTCTGAGGATAAAGTTCACTGGAATTCTCATGAGTTCAAACTGTATATAACCACAAGGACAAGCTACACATGGCAAAAACATGTTTTTCAATAGAGACATATAAACATTTAATTGATTATCAGCAGAAAGAAATAATTAGTAATCTGAAGTAAACTCACTCCTATATGCTACACCGGGCAAGAGCACAAGAACACATTCCAAGAGACAACTCCATGTTTTGAAGAAACCAATGTCACAAGACTTTGGTCTTATTTTCTTGGAGTTTTCTCAAAAGCTCTCAGAATTCTCCTCATATGACTTCATTCTTGCACCATGTTTGGATAGACTGTCCTGTGGAAGTGTAAGATGAAATAAACCCTGTTCTCCCCAAGTTGCTTATGGTCATGCTGTTTATCCCAATAGAAGATATAGGATATTACTTAAGGCAATGTTTTTATTTACTAAAATATTTACTTTTATTTGTTAAAATATATCACTACTGTAAATATGTTAAAACATGTAAAACTAGATCCAGTTTTCATATTATACAGCACTTAAAAATTGTATCTATTCTAAGTGGAGAAAGGTAACAATGAAGTCTTTTCCATCTATTTGTTTGTTTTGTCCTATTCCAATGTGTCAGTTTTTGTTTTAATAGTATTATCATCCCTTAGAAGCCTGTTTGCTTTCTAATGAGAGAGAGAAGGGAGTGGATCCATCAGGAGGGAAGATGTGAAGGAATGAGGAGGATCAGAGGGAGGGAAAACCATATTCAGGATGGATTATGTGAGAAAAGATGGTGTCTTAGGGGTTTTTATGTGATTTTTTTAAATTCTTTAATTCCTACTCATATTTACATATCCATCCCCCCATTCCCTCAACCTCCCATGTTCCCCACCAACAAGCCCAATCCATCCCCCAACTCCTCCCCAGGGACAGTGAGGTCCTATACCAGGGACCTTCAAAGTTCATCATATCATTTGGGGGAGGGCCTAGGCCCTCCTCGCTGTATCTGGGCTGCAATAGTATCCCGCCATAGGGAATGGGCTCCCAAAGTCCATTTGTGCTCTAGGGTTAAGGACTGGCTCCACTGTTAGAGGTCCCATAGACTATCTTGGCCTCCTAGCTGGCACCCACATTCAGAGGGCTTGGTTTGGTCCAATGCTGTTTCTGCAGCTTTATGACTAGGGTCTCCATGCTCTCACTAGGCCAGGTCAACTGTTTCTGCAGCACTGTCTTGGCTCCTTTGCTTATCCCTCCTCCCTCTCCACAACTTGATTCCAGGAGTATGGTTCAGTGCTTAGCTGTGGGTGCCTGTTTCTGCTTTGAACAGCTACTGGATGAAGGCTCTAGGAATGGTA